ACGGAAGGTGTGGAGCAAGGAAACAGAGTGCGCATCAAGGTATTCCAAGAGTCAATCTTAAGAAAAAGGGAAGGACAGTGCCATTAGCACGTTATGATCTGCAAAAGCATCCACCAAGAAACTTGACAGGAGCCAGAGGACACACCATAGTCAACATCAAGTTGATGGAATCGCTTCAAGCCAACCAAGATGGCACCCGCACTGAAGAAGGATTCTCTGCAGATGGGTTCTCTAGGATACTGACCACAAAGGATACCGTCCGAAGTGTCCTAGCGAATCACTTCCATCCGTTAACAATCAGACCAGGTGCTCCCCGTCGGAACAGCTGTACAAGGAAGGACTCCTACACACTAACGATCAGTGATGATACCTTACAGAGCTGGTTGGTGGCTAAAGCTAGGGAGACAACTTGTGTGGTCATTGATTGATTTCAGTGCACTTCAGTATGGTGATCTGTAGTCTCGGGAGTATTGTGAAGTGTAAACTCTAAAGGATATTTTTGAAAGCTGTTTATAACAGAAAAGTAACCCTTGTGAAATGGGTAGTGCGAAATCCTAGTGATAATAGTATTTACCATTATTTTTTTTCTTTCAACTACACTGTACAAAAAACACAGAATGCACTTCTATTAAAATAGTGTCCATATTGTGAAGTGAGCATGCTCACATACACATAGCTATGTGTATCATAAAAAGCTTCAAAGGAAATGAAGAAAAAGAAGGGTGAGAGATATAAGATATAAAGATGTATATTTTTGTAATATTTTTCTGCTTGTATAATCATGAAAACACTACGCAAATAGCTATCATGGGATATACCTTTTGGTATAAGTGAGTAACTTATTGTCACCAGAGGATGTTTGTGTATGATATTTTAAAGGGAAAGATATTTTTGCTATTCTTAAAGTATGTTTTTATTTTGATACACTTTTATGCTGTGAATGATATGTCACTTGCCAAAGTTTTCTCTGGAATTGGGTATTCCATCTAGATGCAATATTACCATTTTAGTAATCATGTTAAACTGCAGTTATTTATCTTTATAAAATAAAAATAAAGAAAATAAGGCATGATCCTGAAGATGTTTTTTTTTTAAAGTAACAGTATACTTGTACATATGTTGTATTTTTAAAGATATTTGTTTTAAAAGTATTACTGGATATTGAGATATATAGTGCATTCATTCTATCATGTTTATTCTGTTTGAAATTTAATTTGCAAAGTATTTGATACAAGTTTTATTATTTATATTCTAAATTTGGCAAAAGAATGTCTTTCCTTTTCTTTTTGGTATTTATATGCTTCGCTTGCTAAATGATTAAATCACGCAAAACTTTATGTTCTTTATGACAAGTTATTTTGTTATGTTAAGTTTTGTGAGTTTTTTTTCCTCCATGTACACACAGGAAATAAGAAAAAGTACTTAATTTACACAGTGCTTTATACTACTTTTTGTTATGAGACTCATAATGGGGAAGTGCTCTTTGAAAATAATTTTTTTTTTTACAACTACTTTGTTTCAATATTCTTTCTTTGATCGATTATAATTTTGTCTGAATGTATGATAAAGAGAGCTCCATGTATCAGATACATGTCTATTTTGTTTGTTTGTTGATATATGTATATGATCCATGTAGATACTATTTAAAAAATGAAAATCAGGGGATTCTTGCAAGTATAACTTGTCAAGTTAGCAACCCATGTTCTTTGTACAAGGTGCTTGTACAGTACAGATGGTATATATGTGTTTGGTGTCTGTTGGTGACATGAGGTAAAATGAAGAAGAGAACAATAATCATGTGAGTTATATATAATTATATTATCTATTCAGTTATCCATAAAAATGTCATTATCATATATATTTTATTGATATATGACCAGATGGACAAACTTGATTTTAGCATATTTTTGACAGAAAAGAAGTTCAAAGATTGCATTTAGATTTTTTGTTTACTGTTTTTATTTCACATTTTACACTGAAATCAATAGAAACATTGTTTGGACATTTTTGTCCATATATTAAGTTTTTTAACTGCAGTTTTTATCAAAGATTTTGTTGTTGTTATTGTTCATTCTAGAATTGTATACCCTTAATTATACAATAGTTCAAACATTTGCTCTGTAGATGTTTTTTGTCGTTGTATAATTTTGCCAGGGAACTTTTGAAAAGAGAAGTACTTTTCATACAAAGTTATATTTATAGAGTCAAAACATTACATTTGCTAGCAAATTTAAGTAGCATGTAGTTTTTATTTTTAATTCATTTTCCCCTTGTATTTGGAAATACACGTATGTATGTTGGTACAGTGTCACTAAAAGAAAACTTTGAATAATGTTTTTGATTGATTTGTTTACATTTTTCATTGATTAAACTTTTGTCTGAAATTGTTAATGTGAAGGACAGTGGGATTTTGTTTGTTTGTTGTGTATTATGAAAATTTAATAAATATCCAAAAGGGAAAAATCCATGGAATGACAGATACATGTATTCAGTAATGAACAAGGCTTTGCTTAACAGCAACTGTAGCATTTTTTGGACTACTTCCAGATTCGACTGATGTTTTAGAAATGATGCAATCACCCTATTTTGTGTATTGCGCTGTCAACTCTGTTGAAACACTTTAGTTTTTGGGGTAATACACATTCCCCATAGACTCTAGCCAAAGTCTATTTTGGGTTTTAGCATTCAACAGGTTAAATACTATTGGACTGTTGTTAAGTAGGGGGTCAACACCATCATTTTTTCTGTATAGTTATTGAAAAAACTGTATATTTAGAGATGCAGACTGTCTTCATCTTCAGGAACCTTACTACTTGAAAATACCTTACTGATTACATATGAAGATGATAATATTCCAACTCTTTGATAAAAAAAATAAAAAAATAAAACCTTTGAGTCAATAACAAAAAAGTTCCCCCATGTATTTACTTGTAAACATCAGTTAAACTTGACACATAAAGTTTACATATGTGTGTATGTATACATTCATTTATATATGGATTTGTTCTTCTGTAGTAAGTTTACAAAATCTCAGACATCAGAGAAAGAACAAGCTGCCAGTTTCAGTTGTTTGGTTGTAGAATACATTTATTTTGTACAAAGTTCTGATCATAATTTCAGCAGGGCGTAAAAATGAAGACTTCTTCTACTACACATATACAGTAGGAGAGAAAAGACGGAGCAAGCAAACAAAACTTAAAGTGACTCTGTAACATTGTTGAAGGTTGATGAAAAAACTAATTTGTGTATGAAATATTACTTATTACTTCTACTGTCCTTACCCTCTTAACAGGCAAAATATCCTGAGAAAATTCTCAAACCACAAAGATATTTATGGTTTTCTGTGAAGGTGTCACTGTGCAACACCCTCTAACAGTGATTAACAGTAAATTCTCTGAACCATTTTTGAATTTTCCCGACCGTTTTTCCTTGAAAATAAGACATTAAACAGGCTTTTAAAATCCTTTCAAAACTTAAATGTCTAGAATGGTATATAGAGCCAATTCATTGTTTTGTGACGATTTACATTCACCTAAAGTGTTATTAAATTGTTAAAATATAGTTGGAAGAATTAAGGAATCAATCGGATCAGTTTTCCCAAATTTTTTCATTAATAATGGTCTGTTTTCACTGAAACTTTCAGATTATCTTTAATTGTAAATTTAGCATTGAAGTCACTACCTTAGCACCATTTTCTCTCATCTGGACAATGGTACCAAGTCCCTTTAAAATATGTATGCACATTTATATGTACAATCAGACCCAAGGCTGGTCTCTAAAAGTCATTGAAGGGAAATAGTAAGTGTTTATAATATGAAGGTATAAATTAAAGCAATACTGAACTGATGAACTTTCTGCCCTAGTGTAACGTTTGTTGCATAGCGCCAGCTCCAGATCAACTTGCCAACAGTGTGTAACTCGATACCTATTTCCTACTTCGCAGACAGAGGACTCTTGTGCAAGAACCTAAAGGGCGAAGTGGGAAATAGGTAATAGTTGACTTGAGATGGCACTAGAGGGGATTTCGGGTTGGTACTTCTGGTTCAGTTTTCCTTTAATCTCAAAATTCTTCCCAGTTCTATTGAGTGATTATGTTCAACCAAAGTACCAAACTATAACTGTAATATCACAAATAAACAAAGATATAAAAGCTTATTGTAAAAATTTCTTTCATAACTTGTTGAACACAATTATGAACATTTATTTTTTGTAAGGGGCTTTACCTTACAAGTTATGAACAATCCTTATCTTAGAGATGCTTAGAAATTCATTTTCAGTACTATTATTTTATTACCTTATGCTTGTATGTGTTAGGTACACCATTATCAATACTTTATTGTATTTAAAGTCAACACACAAAAAGTTTATTAAAGAACATTTTTATGCCTTGAACATACCTGAACAGTGCTTGTGTATTATTTCTTTTCGAGTGGAAGTCAGTTATTTACATCAATTATTAACCAATTCAATTACACGTGGTTAACAAACAAAATATTATTAGTAATGAGTGCAAGGAACATTTTGATGGCTAAGAAGGTAAAATTACCGTTGTTCTAAAAAATAATAAAAAATCTTAATTTTTCATGATCTAACGTTGATAAACAAAAACATAATTTGCATATTGATGAGCTTTCTGATGCCAGTTAGAGCCGAAGATGAAATATTGCGATTTATCAAACAAACACAAATGTGAAGAAAACAAATGCATAGTTCAACATGTAGGTAAACAATCAATTAATTTTTTTGAAACAAGAAATTCTAAAGGTTAAGATTTAGGAATAATGACTGTAACTTTGCTGCTGCTGTTTGCTTGATGAATATGTCCAGTTCTTGAGTATTGGACTTCCCGTCTAGCTTTCCTCCACTTTACATTTGAGAGCAGTTGAAAATTTTGCTAAGTTCGGTCTGCTGGTGCGAGATGATTATGATGATGATGATCATCAACTTGGTGTCCATGCATGCTTGAAGTAATGACCATTTTGTTCCTCACTTTGCTCACTTTGCATTTTATATCAGGTTTGAGTTTTATGGTAAATAAGGTTTGCTGGAGTTAGATGATGATGACGACGTTGATGATGATGATTATGTCTTTGGGTCCATATCTGGAGTGCTAACCACTTTTTTCTATTTTTCTTCCACTTTGCATTTTAAAGCAAATTTGGGTCATACAAATTTGGAGCTAGGTCATGATAATATGATGATGGATGATGATAATGGTCCATGATGATACCTTTATGTCTACCTACATCTGGAGTTCTAACCAATTCTTTCATTTCCAATATGATTTCAGAGAAGTTATGATTTTGATAAGTTTGCTTTGCTGGAGCACGATGATGATGATGGGGTCTACGACGAAAACAACTTCTTATCCATACCTGGATGAATAACTTCTTTTCTAATTCTCCTCCACTTTACATTTCAGAGCAGTCGTGAGTTTTGCTAAGTTTGGTTTGCTGGTGCGAGACGACGATGATGATGATGATGTTTCGGTATCCATGTCTGGGGTTGGAGTCTTTCTTGGAGGGCATGGAAGAGAAGAGCATGGATTTGGGGTGGTCCTCCATGATGAAGAGGGTGCTGGTGATGGTAAGACTCTGGGCATAGATGGCTACGGTCATGGGGGAGAGGGGGAGGTGGAGAGTTGAGACACAAAATGACAAAAACACAAGAAAAAGAGAGAGTTGATGAGAGAAAGAGAGAGCGAGAGAGAGAGAGAGAGAGAGAGCGAGAGAGGAAGGGAGAGGGAGAGATAAATATGAAGATGTCAAAGGGAGATAAAAGGAGGAATATAAGCCATCAAGCAACCAAAAAAGGTAAATTAAAAACAAATGAAATAGATACCATGCAGTGAAAAGGAAAAGTGCAAGGGTTGAAAATAAGTATTGAGATGGTAAGAGAAGATTATGTTGAATTTCAAGTATGTTGACTAATTTTTTAAAATTATTTTTCACAATTTTTTTAATAGTTAACCCATCATTTTGAAAAGAGATATTATCTGCTTCGGGGCAAATAGGTGTCAACTCTTTCATTTTTGTAAGTGCAAAAAATATAATTAAGTGGTAAAATGATGGAAGTAGCTTACAGAAACAGAAGTTAAACTAAAGTACACTATATCATTAACAAACCTGAGCTGTCCATTTGAATCTCCCTTGTGCCCTTCCGGCACCAGAAGGATGTTGCCTCCTTAGTTGTTGCTGCCACTGTTGTCTCTGCAACTGATCAATCTGTTGCCGCAATGTTTGGCACAACCCTTCGAGTGACTCGTCACGGCTTGCATCCAGCTGACTCTGGAGCCTGGGAGGTACATGAATTTCAACTACATTTGAGGGGTCGGTGACACAAAGACGTAACTCCATTTTGGCCACTTTGAGAAAAAGTGGTTTATGTGTCACTGAGCATTAATTGGGCCTTAAGGAGTTAATTCTATGTTTCACTAGCCATTTACTTCAATGGGGTGTTGGGTGGAAATAAGTATTTGTGTTTCCTGGAAAGCCCACATTTTTCTGAACATTTTGATATCAAATACTCATTTTGGCAAAATATGGAGTTACGTCTTTTTGTCGCTGAACCCTTCAATTGTTCTACAACCACTTTTCCATGTGGTCTAATAATCATTTCGATTTCTGATCATTTAGTCTAAGGACCATTGGGGCTAATAGCCATTTGGTCTAATCTCCAATAAGCCTACTACCCATTTGGTCCATTAATTGTTCATTTAGTCTAATAAACAGTCTACTTCCAGGTTTGTCTAATGCCTACTTCTTCTACTATCCATATGGTCTGATAATCATTGAATCATAAGTAATGATAATCATCAAATGATTATGAGACCAAATGATAAGTAGACAACACGAATATTAGACAATGTGGACAGTAGATACGCTGGGTGTAGACCATATGCGAAGAGACCAATTTGGTAGTAGATGAACTGGTTGTAGACTATGAAACATTTCATCTACTGACCTAATTCCAAACCTAATCCTTAACCTCAATTGTGACCCTAGCCCTAATACTATATTCTTTTGTTGAAATCAAGCCGGTAGAAACTGTTGAATCATTGAAAAGTCAGTATAGACTAAAAAATAATTTGCCTGAACAACGCGGGGAAACTCTTACAATAAAAGACATATGAGTTAGTCCAATTTAAAAAAAAAAAGAAGACAGTTTGACACACATTTGTACGACTGTATGGATACTTTTCAGTTTTCAAAATCCATCGTTAGAAAAAAATATCATACCTTTGGATGACAAAGCTTCCCCTTTGCTTAAAAAAATTCAAATACTTAATTCCTGAAATAAGTTTAATTCTATCTTGCATTACCCTATATGTAATATTCATATTTATTTTCTTGATTTTTTTTTTGCTGTGCTACTTAAAGGTAAAACAAAGTTTTGGGAAATTTCTTTACAATTTTGAAATATTTTGATGCCCCTGTGGATGTATTATAAGCACTAGAAAATTTAGCTCCTAAACCACTTCTGTTTTCAAGAAATATTGAATATCAATTTTTTTCTTTCAAATAGTGCCTACAACCATTCAATGGTAGCTGTGACCATCAAAATCTCAGAATATGTAGTTGTGGTATATAATTTCCGAACGGGAATAGCCGATCGGTCGATTTTACTCAAGAAACACTGTTTTATAGCTAAATTAATATCTTGACCTTGAGAGGGAGCTATACAACGAAAATAATTTATTACTTACAATTTTATCACTTTAGACTCGATTTTAACCGTGACAACAATCACTGAATATTGTAGGATTGCATATGTTTCCAATATGTTAATTTTAACCAGATTCATGACCCCATACCAAAACTTTGTAATACCTTTAATATTTTTAAATAATCTTAGCCAGCCTTCAGCTTGCTCCTCTACTCTGAATGTAATTTCCTTCAGTTCCTTCCTTCCTTCCTTCACTCATTTATTCATTTATCCATTCGTGTAGATTTCATTATTTTCATATATTACTGTGTATGCATGTGTAATCTGTACGTGATTATTCCTGTCTTTCCTATTTTTCACGAGTGATATAACCTGAAAGTTGACACCAAGCATCAAGTCATGTGAAAGCACAGTTTGGTCTAATTACCTTTTGAATTCTGGATCAGAGTGTGGTTTGCCAGATACAAAAGCTTTCTCATCCTCTAGCGTTTTTGTTTTGTTCTTCTCAGACACCACAGTCTCCTCCAAACCTGTAGGAATACATGATAAACTAATGAGACTGTGGTGTTCACAATAAAATGCCTGCTCTTTCGCAGCGACACATTGAGATGTTCACAATGACGCCATGAATAATGATACTCTTTGGCACAGAGCACTGAGCACAATATGTCCCCTAATAAGCCTGTAAATACCTTTTTTGATGGTTGCACATCTCATACCAATTTTAACAAACCATCTAATTTCTTAACTATAAAAGAAGATGGGTTTTCTAAACTTATAAAAATACCTGAGCGTAAATTCTGAATAGTCATTAAATGTATATTTCAGATGCTAATTATCCCCTACCCCCCGCTCTCTCTCTCTCTCTCTCTCTGAAATCAAAACAAATAGAGAGAAAAGAATAGAACGAAAGGAAAAGAATAGAAAGAAAAGAAAGGAAAAGAATAGAAAAGAAAATAGAAGGAAAGAAAAGAAAGGCAAAGAATTCAATACCAAAGAGCAATAAGTAATAAATGATGTCCATCTACTCACCAAACAACAGAACATAGAGAGGACATAACTGTGTTGCTATACAGGGTGTCCCAAAAAAATGCAATGACCTTTTGGTTGGCAACATCTGGCAAAGTATGCAATCCTCAATGAAATTTCATAAGTAATGGTATATTAGTATCCCCTATACATCCTGTGTATTTCAAAAGAATTTAAGCGAAAACTACAAAGTTATGATCATTTTCGTAAAATGTAGCATTTTCAAAATATTCCAAATTGAATAACACCAATGCACAATAAGCGCATATGTGACAGCTGAACGTTTTGTAGCAAGTTCTCTAATTCTTGACACCAATGGGGTTAAGAATTAAGATTAATATCATTCGTACACAATAAGGCACATGTTATCAATTTTTTTCTATTTTAATGAGAATCAGTAAATCAGATTTACCATGTAACTCATTTCTGAGTGTGGCTATTACTTGCTCTGTTGCTTTCTTCTCATCCTCAATACATCTCAGCATGTCTCTCTGTTTGGTACAGGTGTCAATGTCTGGACAAATAAAAATAAATGAAGGCAAAGCACATAATTATACATGTACATGTAACAATGATGGTGGGTTCCGATGGCTGTTGAAACGATTCTATTTACACAATCGGAGAAAACGCCAAACTGTCATTGGCGAATAACTTTTGGATGCGTCATAAAACCGCGTCTGGATTAGAAAATAGGTAGGTAATTGTTGTGTTGTAATCTGACTTCTTCTTGTCTGAATATCTGGGTACCCATTCATTGCAATACTTGAATTATGTGTTATTATTATTATTATTTTTTTTTACTTTGAGCTAAGTAAAATGGCTCAAATCCCAGCCAGATCATCCACACACAGTGTATTATGGACCTGCATATGAAAACCATATGCCAAGCATATGCCGCCACACTTCGTTAAACTTAGGTTAAAATACTTAGCCAAAAGCTGCATGCAACGTCATACCAAATTTGGCTAAGCATTTAATTTACGTCACAAACTGAATGAACTACTCGTATTTCTGAGGTAAGAATTGAATAGGCCATTTTCATAATGTAATCAAATTTAATGCACAAATTTTTGTTAAGTGCCAGGTTACAAATTATTTCATTCACCTGTTATAAATAATTATATTACAATTGTCAGAATGCGAATTGCATATATCAATTTTTACTGTGTTTGATAGGACAAACATGATGGCTTGTCCTACCTAACACTTTGAGCGTCAAGTAACACCTGGCTGGAATGCTCCCCAGGGAGTGGAGATTGTGCACACAGTAAAGCGCTTAGAGACATTTGTATTAATTAAGCGCTATATAAAAATTAAATATTATTATTATTTATTATTTATATTTGAAGGCAAGCACTGAATCCAATGACCGGGGTAATAGGATATCTGTAAAGCGCTTAGAGACATTGTATAAAGCCCTATATAAGCGGAATATTATTATTATTATGTATGCAATTTTGCATTCTGCCTATTGAAATGCAATTATTTATAACAGGTGAATGAAATAATTTGTAACAAGGCACTTAATTCATTATCAAAGATTTATGCATCAAATTTGATTACATTACGGAAAATGGTCTATTGGATATGGACCTTCTTGAAGCTTGTGTTGTCTGATTTTCATCTCCTTCAATTGTTCCTTGACTGATGTCAGCCTCTCTTCTTTGCCTCTGCTTGCCAACCCAAAGTCATGAATGAAGGCTGAAATATCGGACAAGAAATCTTCTTTCATCTTGTCTCGGGATGACGTGCTGTGATGCTAATAAGGAAGGATAAGGAATATAACAATGGCGACAAAAAAGTTTGAGCAAGCACAAATATATGACTGAGACATACAGAGAGAGAGAGGGAGAGAGGGGGGGGGGGGGGGGTAGGATAATTAAGAGGTACAGGTAGAAGACATGTTAAACAAGGGGAACAAATATGTGAAGAGCGCTTAAAACAAAATGAAGAGAGAGAAAGAGAGAGAGTGAGAGAGGGAGAGGGGGTAGGTTAATTAAGAGGTATATATATATATATAAGACATCTTAAACAAGGGGAAAAAATATGTGAAGAGCGCTCAAAACAAAATGAAGAGTGAGAGAAAGAGAGAGAGAGAGAGAGAGAGAGGGAGAGAGGGAGAGGGGGTAGGTTAATTAAGAGGTATATATAAGACATCTTAAACAAGGGGAAAAAATATGTGAAGAGCGCTCAAAACAAAATGAAGAGTGAGAGAAAGAGAGAGAGAGAGAGAGAGAGTGAGAGAGGGAGAGGGGGTACGTTAATTAAGAGGTATATATAAGACATCTTAAACAAGGGGAAAAAATATGTGAAGAGCGCTCAAAACAAAATGAAGAGTGAGAGAAAGAGAGAGAGAGAGAGAGAGTGAGAGAGGGAGAGGGGGTAGGTTAATTAAGAGGTATATATAAGACATCTTAAACAAGGGGAAAAAATATGTGAAGAGCGCTCAAAACAAAATGAAGAGTGAGAGAAAGAGAGAGAGAGAGAGAGAGTGAGAGAGGGAGAGGGGGTAGGTTAATTAAGAGGTATATATAAGACATCTTAAACAAGGGGAAAAAATATGTGAAGAGCGCTCAAAACAAAATGAAGAGTGAGAGAAAGAGAGAGAGAGAGAGAGAGAGTGAGAGAGGGAGAGGGGGTAGGTTAATTAAGAGGTATATATAAGACATCTTAAACAAGGGGAAAAAATATGTGAAGAGCGCTCAAAACAAAATGAAGAGTGAGAGAAAGAGAGAGAGAGAGAGAGAGAGAGTGAGAGAGGGAGAGGGGGTAGGTTAATTAAGAGGTATATATAAGACATCTTAAACAAGGGGAAAAAATATGTGAACAAAATGAAGAGTGAAAGATAGAGAGGGGGGAGCAAGAGAAATTCACAATTAAGTTATCAACCTCATTTACTATTTGGACAAAGGAATTTATCTTCCCCCTTCCCCCACCAAAATCAGAACAAAACAAACAATAACAAAGAAAAGAAAAAGAAAGAAAACAGAACAAATGAGGAAATAATCGCATCAATCAAGAATCTTTTGATTTCAGATATTTTCTGGATATGTTTGGTGTGCTTAAAGGCATTCAGTATCACATTTATGAGTGTATGTATGTATTCATTCAGAAGTAAGATGTGCATGGTAATTTGTAGTAATAGGAATGCAAAAATGATTTACAAAATAAATGAAGCTTACAAGTTGTTCGCTGTACATCTGTTTTTCTTTCATTTGGTCTGCAAGTTGTTCTTCAAGGATAGCTTCTCTTGTGCTGATCCATTGGCAGTCAAGCTCCTCTGTAGACAGATCTTGAACCTGCTCAAAATTATGAAAAAATTGGTATCGGATGTAAACTCACAAAGCATCACTTTTTTTGGGGGGGGGGGGAGGCAAATGACAGGATAAAGATATAAGACAATGGATAATACAGTCAAACCTGCTTTAGTAACCACCTGTCTACAAAGGCCACATTTGTTGTTTCCCTTGAAAATGGTTTCTCATTGAATCATGTACTAAAGGAACCTGTCTACGAAGACCACTCGTCTACAAAGGCCACTTTTTGTGTTTCCCTTGGGTGGTCACTATAGACAGATTTGACTGTAGTATAAAATTGTAGCCCGTTTAGAAGTTTTTTCCCTCCATGCTCTTTATCTGTACGGTAGCTTGAATCATACAGCAACAAATAAACATAACATACAAATACAAAAAGTCAGATGTGATCCTCTTCCATTATAAGGCGACAATGTCGATCCAGTAACCCACCATATGCTGGTATCTAGTTTTATCTTAGACATAACAAAGGAAAGCCAGGAATATTGAGCAGTATTGATATTTAACATGGACTATTCTGAATGACAAGAACCCTTTTATTTTGACATCCCTACCATTTCCAATGTGATGCCTCTGTAGCCTTGCACTGGTGACATGTACAAGAGGGACTTTGCTTGGTGAAATGTACAAGAGAGACTTTGCTTGGTGAAATGTACAAGAGAGACTTTGCTTGGTGAAATGTACAAGAGAGACTTTGCTTGGTGAAATGTACAAGAGAGACTTTGCTTGGTGAAATGTACAAGAGAGACTTTGCTTGGTGAAATGTACAAGAGAGACTTTGCTTGGTGAAATGTACAAGAGAGACTTTGCTTGGTGAAATGTACAAGAGAGACTTCGCTTGGTGAAATGTACAAGAGAGACTTTGCTTGGTGAAATGTACAAGAGAGACTTTGCTTGGTGAAATGTACAAGAGAGACTTTGCTTGGTGAAATGTACAAGAGAGACTTTGCTTGGTGAAATGTACAAGAGAGACTTTGCTTGGTGAAATGTACAAGAGAGACTTTGCTTGGTGAAATGTACAAGAGAGACTTTGCTTGGTGAAATGTACAAGAGAGACTTTGCTTGGTGAAATGTACAAGAGAGACTTTGCTTGGTGAAATGTACAAGAGAGACTTTGCTTGGTGAAATGTACAAGAGAGACTTTGCTTGGTGAAATGTACAAGAGAGACCTTGCTTGGTGAAATGTACAAGAGAGACTTTGCTTGGTGAAATGTACAAGAGAGACTTTGCTTGGTGAAATGTACAAGAGAGACTTTGCTTGGTGAAATGTACAAGAGAGACTTTGCTTGGTGAAATGTACAAGAGAGACTTTGCTTGGTGAAATGTACAAGAGAGACTTTGCTTGGTGAAATGTACAAGAGAGACCTTGCTTGGTGAAATGTACAAGAGAGACCTTGCTTGGTGAAATGTACAAGAGAGACTTTGCTTGGTGAAATGTACAAGAGAGACTTTGCTTGGTGAAATGTACAAGAGAGACTTCGCTTGGTGAAATGTACAAGAGAGACTTTGCTTGGTGAAATGAACAAAAGAGACTTTGCTTGGTGAAATGTACAAGAGAGACTTTGCTTGGTGAAATGTACAAGAGAGACTTTGCTTGGTGACATGTACAAGAGAGGCTTTGCTTGGTGAAATGTACAAGAGAGACCTTGCTTGGTGAAATGTACAAGAGAGACTTTGCTTGGTGAAATGTACAAGAGAGACTTTGCTTGGTGAAATGTACAAGAGAGACTTTGCTTGGTGAAATGTACAAGAGAGACTTTGCTTGGTGAAATGTACAAGAGAGACCTTGGTGAAATGTACAAGAGAGACTTTGCTTGGTGAAATGTACAAGACAGACAGACTTTGTTAATTGTCTGAACAGTCAAGAGCCCGCTTCTTGTCCACCTACAAAAATGTATCTACTATTTTAACTCAGAATTGAATTATCAATTCAAAGACTACTTGCCTTGGAAGCTACATCATTATGGAGTATGTTTACCTCGGTCTGAGTTGCTTGAAGTTGTTGTCTAACAGATGATATCTTGCTTTTTACTGTAATTATATGAAATAATATAATAATTGTTAGAAAGATGTTTATTAAATGAGGCATACATGTAGGTATACTGCCAAGGGGTAATCTTGTTGTACCTGTAATTATGCATCTAGAACAATCTCCTACCAATTAAAAAACGTGAATAAGGCTACACTTTAATAGGTCTACAGCATCTAGACCCAGACCCGCATTAGATCCGAGACTTGTAATTTATCAATGATCTGAACTTAATATCAGGGTGGACTTCCCCTTTAAATAGCAGGTAAAAAATTGGAGGTGTGGTTGATATGTGTTTGCGGTTTATACAACATTATTTAAGGTAAAAACAAGGGAGACAATCATGCAAGTCTACGGGACTGAATGATGAAATAAAGTTATGCATAGATCCAGGTAAATTACTGAGATCTAACGAGCCTCACCACATGAATGCGTAGATCGATCTACTCTAGATCTAGATCATTGATAAATTACAAGTCTTGGATCTAATGCAGCAATATGTTTTTTCAACCATTTGAGTAGTACAAGAGGTTGGTACCCAAAACATACAAATGTATAGATATTTCTAGACCTATTAATTAAAAGTAGATTTATTAGATTTAAGTTCCAAGTCCAAGTAACAAAGAACATGATAAATTACATTGGCCAGATTTTTAATAACATTGCTTTAAAATATGTTTTAACTCTACTGCTCATGATCATGATGTTATGAAAGTCCACACCCACGGAATCAAGCACTTCCTTTGCTACAGATTGGACGTTTATATTTTTACTACTAATACTAGATTCAAGTCTACCCCCATGAAATTACAAAATACAGGACAGCCATTGCCAAGCACTGCTCAGGCACAGCCGTCCGGAGAGTAGACACTGGTTACTAGTGGTACTTGGTAACGAGTCAGAGTGGGACTGGGTTGGCTGATTGTACTTTTAGCCTAGGCCTACCCTATTTGTATTTTGTAATTGAACACTCACGTTCATTCAAGATGCTTTTCCTCTCTCTTGCTTTCTGTTCAGATTCAAGTATCTGCATGAAAAGGTCGTTCAGACTCATCTCTGAAATCTCTTTCTCTTCCAGTTCCACTGAAGATATTGAAATATTCAAATTTGTTTTTCTAACACATTTTTTTTGAGGATATGGATCGGCATAAGATGTTGATGTAGCGCACGATCTGTCTGCTGCTACAATTACTCGGCCTTAGGGGGCGTTCATAACGCACCTGCAAGCAGTGCGGATTGCAAACATGCATAGCATCCACCCAAGGATTTGATTACTCCCAGGGCTAGGGAAGACCGTAAGTTTTACAATAAAAGTAGTTATCCGTAGCCGTTGGCTTTCAGCCCCCAGGGCAGGCACGTACACAGGGGGGGGGGGGGGGGGTTAAATCCCCTTTGGTATTTGTATGTGTGTAACCCCCCCCCCTTTGGATTTTTTTTTTTAATTTAAAAAAAAAAAAAAATAATATTATTATTCCCATGGCTGACCTAAAAAGGTGACCTTACCCCCCCCCCCCCAACGGAGCCAAATGTCAAATTTTTAAATTTCGAGACCAAAAAAAAAAAAAAAAGTGTCCTCTTATTTACTGGGTGGGTAGATAAAAAGTTAACAAATAATCATAATCGCTATTATTTCGCTTAAAGCTGAGAATTTCGTGTTACTTGTGCATTATAGATGTGCATGGAATTTGGAATAAAAGAATTTCTGTATCTGGCTCTACGGGTAATTGGTACACGCAGGCGGATTCCTGAGCGGTTAAAAGTAAAACAAGAAAATAGTAGATGTGATGGGTCTTTCATAATAGAAGTTATTTTAGTCAATAAGCGATCTTCAAACAAAATTGATAGGGGTGGTAATTCAATGCCGATAATACGTTGAGCAATTTTCCTTGGACGTTCGAGTTTAGTTTTGTCTGCTTGTGTGAGATTTCCATAAAAACAAATGAGATTGAATAGAAGAACACTTTGAATAATAGACTGATAGAAAAGATGTAAGATCGTCCTGTCAACGTTAATAATATTCGCTTTAAAATATTGTCTGAAGTCACTTATGAATTCCGGACACAACTGGGAAAGGTTGGCACTAACAGAATAGAACTATAATAAATTTCTCAAAATTGGTGACCAAAATGGTAATAATAAATCACAAACACAACGTTTTCTTTTTCTTTACGTCACCTTGCGCTAAGCTACGAGGAAACGTATAGGAGCTGTGAACTTGAAGTGACCGCTAGCTGGAGATGATACGATGGTAGGAAATAAGAAGGGACAAGGCTCACTGGAAAAAAAGATACCGAAAACGTCAAAGGAAACTCAGGAGATAAAAACTACTTATCTCTCTCGGATATTGACAATAAAATGACATCTAATGATGGCGGGAAGTCGTCGATAGTGCCTTTTCACTAGGATGAAGGGAATGCATTTGAAAGAGATATTCTGTTCTTTCTTTTCTAGTTGATTGTAAAAACTGATATTCGTAACGAACCAAAATTGAAGAAGTATGTGCCTCATTATCATCTCACATGTGTGTACTTTTCATTTATGTTGTTATTTTGGGCTGTATCCCCCTGGGGGGGGGGGGGGTAATGTGCGTGCAGTTAAGAAAAACAGAAGAAATGTGAAATTCGAGAGGTAGGCTACACTTTTCACACAGTCCGATGACGCGTTACTCTCTTTTAGTTCAATGTTTTATTCAATAATATTTTGCAAATGTTTTTGATCGTTTATTTTTCAATAGTAAGAAATAGTGCAATCTAAATCACACCAAGGACAAACACAAAATTTAACGTATCGCCAGAAAGTATAATGTGAAGAGACCTGAGTTCAAGAAACTGTATACGAACGAAGAGATCCGTGTATAATAAGTGATAGTTCAAAGACGTTATCGGTGGCTGGCAGAGCTAGGATTCTCTGGCGAGAAAGCCAGGCGAGAAAGACAAGAAAGAAAAAAAAAGAGAGGTAATAAGATTTTCACTCAAAAGCAAACAACCAGACAAGCAAACAAATAAACGTAAAATGATCAAAGGCAAACATAAATTAATAGATGAATAAATTAACACAAAATTAACACAAAATGAACACAAAATTAACACAAAATTAACACAAAATGAACACAAAATTATAAAAAAAAAAACGTTAAAAAAAACACAATTTGAAATACAAATCAAATAAAAACACGAATAAGCTAACTACCAAAACAATACAAAAGCAAACCAAAACAATACAAAGAAAATGTAGGTTTAATTCAGCCGTCGACACTGGGTGAGTCCATAGAGATATTATATAGGATCCCTTTTCGTTAGTCAAAGAGCGCCATCTTTGACAAGTCATAGTTCATGGCATAGACAAACCGTTTCTAGGACAATTACCCTCTGGGCAATCACCACCCGGCCAATTACCATCGGGACAATCACCCCACTCAAGGAAAATTACCCCCCCCCCCCGGAAAATTACCCCTAGGACAACTACGGCTCTATGACAATTAACCCCTCCCTGAAATTAACCCCTTGGAGAATTATCCCCCCCCCCCGACAAAATTATGCTTTATTAACACCAACTTATTATCAGGGT